TCCACTGGTTTTGCCTTAAATGGTGGAGTCTTATACATTTCCATGAGTCAGTTGGATTTGCACACAAATACCTCATCACTTTTTCCTTCACATTTCCATGAGTCAGTTGGATTGTCTTTGTTGTTAATCTTTCACAAAATTACTTATATATTGAAGGAAATTTTAGATTGTACAATTTATTTCATGGTGTGTCAAAGCAAAAAAGTGTTGAGAATATTGAGTTAGGCCTAAGTGACCATACAACCTTACTAAAACTGGGATGACAAATGTGGAGTGAGGAGGTATTTGGCAGCGAGGCTGCAAGATCATGTAGGAAAAACTAGATTTAATAAGACAAAGGAATGCTAATATGGGTACATATAGAATGTATGGATAGGAACAATCACCCAACCATCCTTGCTTTGGATCCATGAATATAAATTCATGGTTGTGGTTTCAGTTCATTCAAGTTCCAACTGTCTTCATATGAGCGTTCTGTGTGTAGTTGGTTCAATCGTTACTAGGATCCTATTGCCATATCGATATAGGTTTCCATTCCAGAAAATAAATATTGTCATCATCTGTAGCACCTGTATGTTATGTAAATCGGGATACACTAACCCATTAAACTTAGCTAGCAAGGATTATTAACTCTTTCTAATCACAGTCTATTCCCCTTGTTACATCACTCTCCTTATTTCTGTCATAATTGGGTCGGACTGATATTCGTTTTTCTTACTTAATGCACCAAGCTGACCAACACGAGGTTCTTGAACTCCATCACTGTTTAAATTGGTCCTACAGGTTTGGTTCAATAGATTGTTGGATCCATCAGCTTCTAAAAGGTCCAGGTGGCTAGAGCTAAGACTGGTGTGCACGAATCTATTAATTTTCAGGCAATTTTCCCTTTCAATTTTGTAATTTTTTTTTGATTTTGTTGGGTTTTTTTCCGTTAAACTTCATCATTGTCTTAGTGTACTCTCAGGGGTTCAAATGACTTTTCCTATTTGAGTTCCAATGTTTGTCATTAGGTTTCAATGTTAATGTTGGGGGCCATCGGGAATGTTAAGGTCTTCAGACCCTTTTTCAAGGTCATAAATCTTGATTTTGGTTTTCTGCTTCTGCGAAACATATTAGTGTTGGGTAGTTCTGATAATCTGTCCTCCAGGTATTTTGCTCCTGTGTTTGCTTCAGTTAACCATTATGTTGTCATCCAGTTCAGTCATTAGTTGGGGAGAGTTTGTAGTGCTCTGCTTTCTTTTGCTAGGCTTGGAGGATGAGAATAAGATGCATACTTGGTTTGTTTGTTGGGAGCCTATTGTGCTGCATTGAGGGCATTTGGCTTTTCATGATGCATAATTATGTTACTATCTTCGGATTCTTGGTAAGGTTTCTTAAAGTTGGTAGTTAATAAAGACATTGGTTTCTTCTCTCCTCCAACTTTAAGCCTTTGATACCTCATTTGCAATCTATTTCTTAGGGAGCACGAATGGCATTGATGTTAACGAATTGGATCCATCGAGCGATAAACATTTAGGAGCCCATTATTCTATCGATGATCTTTCTGGAAAGGTAGTATATTTCCATTTTCTCTGTTGAGTAGTTGTCATTAAAATTTGGCCTCTTATCCGTATTTCTTTCCAATTTGCAGGTCCGATGTAAGATTTCTTTACAAGGAACTGGGGCTTTCCTGTTAATTAGACATGAATGTCCCCTGGTAAAGTAACGATAAAGCATATGCCTTTGTTATTGGAAATTGGAGTTTCTCTTCTTTTGTTGATTGAATTTTCCCCCTTTGAATTGTAGATTGAATTCATTGGGAGACTAGAGTACTACCGAAAATGTACAAGTACCATGAGGGAAAAGAACCCTATTTAGGAAGTACAATAGAGAACCTGAGATCCGATGCGAACAATCGGTCAATCAATTTTCACTCCTTCGAATCTCTTTCCCTCTTGATTTCTTTAACGCTTAGAGTCTTTCCAAACGATCTCTTCGTCTTCCGCCGTACATAAGGTTGGCTCATGTTTGGGAAAGGATCGCTCGACGACAAGTGCTACGTCATGAAATACGACATTTACGTCAGCTCAATGCCAATGGTTGTTTACTTGTGTTTCTTTCTTATCTGAAGCTCTATTGATTTGAAGTTTCCTCAACAATTACCTTTCCAAATTCTGTAGGATTATGCTTTGGTTAAACATTGCAGTGTAAAACCAATACAATTGCATAATATTACCCGAATGAAAGACTAAAAAAGACTACCTAATTTCTTTTCCGTAATTCTCTCTATAACGATAGTTAGAGAATAAATATTAATTAAAACAAATATAGTTAAAGTACTTATGATAATATTTCAGTCAAACACTCAATTTTTTTTTAAGTATTTCTCTAAAATCTCAAGGAGAAGCTGTTTTGGCAAACCTACAGCAAGGCCAAACTAGCCTATATTTAAGAATTTTCAACGAGAAAACGACACTGGTAGGGTTGATAGTGGGAATGCTTTTGGAGACATTTCTTTCTCATCTTTCTCAACTTGGTGGTATTTTATGCTTAATTTTGATATAGCATCCTCGAACAAAATTAGTTGATTTCGAGTAGACCAATGACTAATTCGGGATTGTTGCATCTTGCATGGTTGTTGTTGCTCTTCCAAATTAGCGATGGCTTTGATATTGGATTGGATGCTGTTGGGGATTCTTTTCTGGTCCTGGTTGAGCAAAGCAAGTTAGTAATGCAAAATATTATAAGGAAATACCTTTTAACCAATTTATGGCGACAACAAGAAGTTCAAAAATTCTTATGAAATATCGAAATAAAAATAATATTAATCGAAGGATGATCTAATTAACACAAATATATATGAACTAATATCACTAATGTCACAATCGACAAGTAGCAGAAAACATATTTTCACATTGTCAATAAATTATTTACAAAATTTCAAATTATTAAAAAAGATGAATGAATTGATTAACATCAAACAATAAAAAAGAAATAAAGCAAAATTCATCCGACCAAATAGGTCGAGTAAAAGCTAGTTTGTAGATTATGGGAAAGAAGTCAAATACTGAAATTGAGGATCTCGTAGGGCCTGGCTCATGGCCCGATCCATTAATTGAGGACAATTAAAGACTCTGGACCTGACCTTAGGTAGTAGGTACAGATTGATCGATCTAAATAGCCCAGTTTTCAACGGTAAATTAATTGAAAAACGAGATAATTTGATCTATTGTAAAGTGGTCAAATCGGTTAATATCAATGCACCAGTTAGACAATTGCAATGGTACAATTTGTGGTACAACGAATTTGTGTAAGTTCATATCGGTTTAACAATATATGTAAAAATGTGAAAACCATTAACATCCAATGAATTTAATCATATATAAAATATATTTGAAGATAATTTACTTACCATCCAACAAATATATAAATTTTTAAATTCATAAAATAAACAATAATTATTTTTTATTTATTATACATTGTCTAAAATGACCTCATTTTGCTTAGAATTTATAAGCAGATCATGGCGGTTGTATCGGTGGTGTTCATTATGGTTTCATGAGTGATACTAGTTGAACGAGGTTCAACCAGTCGGCATGCCTCTAGCATGACAATCATGGTCTATTGTCTTATTTTATAAAACGATTTATTTAAAATGAGTCAATTTGAATTATTTGCTCCCACTCCAAACAATTGTAATTATCTCAAAAAGTCAATTTCATTTTAAAAAATTATCTCAAAACGAGTCAATTTGAAATTCTTCAGAAAAAATTGTTTTATCTAAATTTTGTGTTGTTAAATGAAACAATTTGACCATATTATCAATATGAAAAACAAATTGATTAAATTAATTAAATGAATCCATTATAATTTCTCATCCAAACTACCACCGGGCAGTCTTCGAATCGGTACAGTAATCAAAATGGCAGGGCCGCAGGGGCATATTGACCACTAGGCTCGGCAAAATGAACCGAAACTCGAAAATCCGATCTAAACCCGACCCGACAAAATCCGTAGAGGACGGGCTCCGGGCCGGACTAGGATTAACCCGAGAATAAGAGAAACGGGCTTCAGGCGGACTTCAGACTCGCAACTATCCCCCCAGACTCCGCCCCGTACATATATATACCATCTAATCATCAACCCTAGGCTAGATTACTCCCCTCAACTAAACTCTTCATCTCCCATTTTCTTCTCCGCCTCCAACTCTAGGCTAGATTCTAGCAATCTGATTGCTTGGGCTGCATTGAATCCCTAACATTTCGACGCATATCTCCCATTGATTATCCGTTTTCCTTCCCGATGATGATAATCACTTCCCTTTCAATCATGGCTCGCCGCATGCAGAGAGAATTTCTCGCAGTGAAGTCGAATAGTTGATTCGACTGGAGTATAAATATGAGGCGGGGTTTATTTTTTTGTTCATATTTTTGTGCATGCGAGAATCATCTTCACATCCATTCCCACCCATTATTTGTGCCTCTCTATGTTTTTTCAAGGTAAATATCCACTTTCTTTGTTTCAATTTTGATAATTGATGTTGGTTAATGATTGAGGGAGTTGCTTGATATCCTAGTAATCCTTGTTCCTCTATTTTTTCGGCAGGAACAATGTCAACAGAGGGAGTTCAACCCACTCTTCAAGATAATGGTAATAGTGCAAATCCAGTTTTGTCTGCACCTACTGAAAATTGGACTGTCACAAATCCAGCTTCGTAGGCAACAACTACAAATGAGCAGAATGACAATATTGTCGAGGAATTACTCGACGTTGGTAAGCTTAAGAGTGTTGTTTGGTTACACTATACCAAAGTTTGAATTAATGGAATTGTCAAGGCTAAATGCAATTATTGTAAGAAGCAATTAGTTGGGGAATCAAATAATGGTACTACCCACCTAAAGAATCACACCAAAATCTGTGTTCAAAAGAAAATTAGGGATGATAGTCAAAAGATTCTCAGCCCTCACTATTTGGCTAAAGAATTGGTTGCTAGAGCTTTCAACTCTGATTTTTCGAAAAGGGAGATTGCAATTGCTATTACAATTCATGATTATCCTTTGTCGATGGTTGATCATCTCTATTTCAAGAGATTTGTCTGCTCTCTTCAACCATTGTTCACTGTTCCATCGAGGAATACTATAAAGAAAGAGATCTTTAAGATCTATGATACTGAAAGAGCTAAGATTCAAAGTGGGTTTGGTAGCAACAGAGGTGGAATTGCAATAACTACTGATTTGTGGACTGCCACCAATCAAAAGAAGGGGTGCATGGCTGTTACAACTCATTATATTGACAACTCGTGGGTGCTTAGGAGCCATATTATTAGGTAAGACATGTACTTTGTATCGTTTTAAATCATTGGTGTCGGTTTCTTAGTTTTTATTTCATTCCTAATTGCATTTGTTTCTTTGTGTGTTCGTTCTTGTGCAGATTTGCATATGTACCAGCACCTCATGCTGCTGAAAGGTTGAGGACAATATTGATTAACTGTTTGCTCGACTGGAATGTCGACAGTAAGGTATCCACCATTACTCTAGACAATTGTAGCACTAATGACTCTATAATTCTTGTCATACCGTCAAAATTAGTGTTACCTTACTTGATAAGTGATGAGGCTTTGATACAAATGAGGTGTGCTGCTCACATCTTGAATTTGATTGTGAAAGATGGTTTGGATGTTGTTAAAGAGGGTATTGAAAACATTAGGAGCAGTGTTGTTTATGTAACATCCCGAACATCGGATAATTTTTTTTCCAAGTAGCGGACGCATATAGTACGATTTGAAGCTGGAAAAAAATCTAGAAGTTATCCTATACGAGATAGGATCAATGAAATCACTTTGAAACTCTCCAAGCCTAAAAAAAATGCAATAAAAATAAATAAGGGGCTGCCAGGAATCGAACCTGTAACCTGGCCAAAGTTCCAAGGAGAGGCAAGTGGCCAGACAACTATGCCACACAGGACTTTTTGTGTAAATACTACTCCGGCATTTTTATAAACTTAACTTACATCGCTGCTGCAGATAAACTCTACCAAGCGGTGCAGCTCTCGAAACTCGTCCCTTCAACTCCATAACTGACCTGAGGATTTAGAAGGCGACCTTTAGCTTTATGAGGGTCTGCCTGGGCCTTAATTAGGAGTGATGAAGATCTGAAACAAGAGTTAATAAGAGGGGGAGCCTCTCTTCTTCTTCTTCCTCACTTCATATCATCATTCTCATACGACATGAAAAGAATGGAAGGAAAGGATATTTGAAAAACGCCTATCATAACCTCTGTATGCCCAGCAAAGGTTTAGAACCCACACAAATCCCATTAAGAAGCCAAAATCGTCCAACCAACTCAACGGAAATTCTTCGCCGATACTTTTGCCGTAACCTTTTTGTCAACCCAACCAGCGCTACAAAAGGCAGTATCAGCTACGAAGCTTGATACCGTTGCGAAGAGCAAGTCTCCACGAACATCACAGAGTTTACAGAATTGAATTCCGAGCTCAGACGAGGGAGAAACAAGGCCGGGAAGTTGGTACGCGAGGTAGGAAAATTTCTAGTTTTCTGCAGATTTTGGGACATGCAGAAAATTAACAATTAATCCGTAATTTCGTACTAACGATGATCAGCTCGCCGTTTCTTCGTTTGACGTCCAAACGACGAACCGTTTTCGCCTACAGGACCGTAGAAACAAGGAGAATTTTTAGGAGCCAATCTCTGGAATTTTAGAACTTAATTCCCGACTTGAAATCGGCTAAATTAAGGTGTGTGGGGATTAAGAGGACCTTAATTATTGCATCGATTATTTATGCTTGATTTGCATATTTGGATGGATAGATTACTGTGGGTGATGAATTATTTGTTGATATGATGATTTGGTGATTATTCTTGATTGTTATGGATTTTACGGTGTAAATATCGGTATTTGACAAGTTTCACCGTAAAAATGAATAGTTTGGTATATTGAGTCTAAAACTGATCTAAGAGATTTTTGTTTGTCTAAAATGAGGTTGGGGCAGATTGAGCAGAATATTTCACTTGAAAATGGTTTTCAGATTAAAAACTGCATAACGGTGAATTTTACGAAAAGCTCGGTAAAAACGTGTTTTATTTATCTTTAAGATTTGGATCACTTTAAAATGGTCAGTATGGATTATTAAATGGTTTGTGGTCTGAAAATGGTAAATTAGACAGTTGGTGGAATTTTTATCTTAAAAACTGTAAAAATGAGCTTAATACGAGATTTGCGATAAATACCGAGTGTAATATTATTTTCATGGTTTTGAGTTGTTGAAAAATATAAAAACTGGACAGACCTGTTTTAGGATGATAAATGAAGGTTCTTGTATTTTTGGGAGATTTTTGAATTTTCCGTTTTGTTGGAATTTAAGTTACCGTAAAATAATGGTTAATACGAGATTTTTGATACTTTATTGTCTAAATTGATTTTTATGACCAGAACTAGATTTAATGGATTTTGTGTCAATAAATTAATTTACATGAATTGTGTGAGGATTTTAATGAAGGAAAGTGAATTTTGAGTTAAGGACATTTTTAACCGCGATCGGGTTATTTATAATTATTTGCGTTGGCGCTATTTCGTGATATTGTTGATGAATTTTGGATGAGGAATGGTGATATGGTACTGCTGAGTAGCTTTACGGGAGAATGAGATGATTTATGTGATTTGGTATTGGATGATGAAATAGTTGATTTTTTTTGAAACGTCGAGTTGATAATCGACGGAAAATATATATATGAACTGGTTAATCCGTAAGATTACATTGATTCCGGATTGATTGTGATGGATGAGAAAAATGGAAATGGTTTGATTCGTGATCATATTAATTCACGTAGATATAGAAAGGGCATGCATTTACCCTCACCCCTTGAGAGTGGGTAGATTTAGCTCGCTTATTCGATTTAGTGTTGTGGTTGCATGAGCACCACGGATGAGTGTTGTGGTTAAAAACCACGGATTGAGTGTTGTGGTTGCATGAGCACCACGGATGATGATTTGCTCGAGCGAGGGTAAGTGTATGGTGACCTTGGCGCCATTAATAATTAACCGGAATTTTCATATCATGCATTGATTATGTGTTCGTGAAATTAAGTGATTATCTTATTGGATAAATTGATTTGGTGATGATTAGTTGGTGGATTCGATAATTTGATAGGTAATTTATATATGATGATTTAAGATGGCATCTAGAGTAATAATTTATGATTGATTATGATTGTTTGATTAGCTGATTGCGGTCCCAAAATTAGGTCGTGGGAAAGATCCACACACACAGCTTAGTTGCTGACCCACGTCTGTTTTCAGGCTCGCAGGTGCAACTAGGATCGGACTACTGAGGCTGCCCTATCCTTCTGTACTACCATCATGAGGTAGTTTGGAACACTGTTCTGTCATGGTCACCTAGGATTTTTGCTTTGAGTGTTTGAATAATAAACCCACATTTTGTAAAATTCAATAAGTGGGTTGGGATTCGAATAATGAGTTTGTATGATAACGGTTTATGTTTGTGTTTAATTATCGGATATGATGTTTGAGATGATCGAGTTCAACACCGATGATTTGGCTGCGCGGTTGAACCACGGGTTCAACCATAGAGATTATGGGTGGGGTGTTACAGTTTACTGGTCTGCTACCCCTAAAAGGCTAGAGTTCTTCCTTGAAACTGCACAACAGTTAAAGTTCACTTCTGAGAAACGACTTGTTATGGATTGCCCTACTCGGTGGAACTCCACCATTAAAATGCTATATGTTGCTATTCCTTACAAGGAGGTTTTCACTAGACTTAAATAACGTGATGCTCAATACAATTTCTTGCCATCGAATGAGTAGTGGCAATTTGGTGCACTAGTTTGTGAGAAACTTAAAGTTTTTAGCTCTATCTCTGATTTGTTCTCTAGATTGAAGTATCCAACGAATAATCTGTTCTTCCCTCGTATTTGTGAGTTGAAACTCAAGATTCATGAGTGCGTGTTGATACCAATGAATTGATTCAAAAGATGGGTCATTCTATGCTGGAAAAATTCAGCAAGTACTGGGACGAGATTCACAAAGTCCTTGCTATTGCTGTGATTTTAGCTCCACGGTAAAAGTAGGATATTGTGGAATACTATGCTGCTAATTTTGGAATTGATTGCTATTGTTTGGAATCTGTTAAGGACATATTATCTGATCTGGTACTGGAGTACCAAGTGAACGAGGAGAGGAATCTGAATGTTTCTGGGTATGTGGGAGTTCAGTCCTCTGCTCCTAGTACCACTTATTTGGACTTTGATCGATTTGTGAGTTAAAGAAAAAGGGCAAGGGTTACTTCTGTTCATACTGAGTTGGACAATTACCTCAATGAGGAAATTCTCCCCCATTCTGCTGAGTTTGATATTTTAATGTGGTGGAAGTATAATGGTCCAAAACATCACACATTGCAAGCGATAGCAAGGGATGTTTTGGTTGTTCATGTTACCTTTGTTGCATCTGAGTGTGCATTCCTCTCTGTAGGTCATATTTTAGACCCTCATAGGAACAGGTTACACCATGCTATTGTGGAAACACTTGTGTGCACAAGAAGTTGGCTGCAAGCTGAGTTGGCTGAAGGTAAACTCTTAACCCTTTTAAGTTATTCTTTTTGTTCAATTTCATTGTTGTTTTAGCATGTTATGTAACTATTTTGACTTGGCTTGCATTCGTAGATGATGTTGCGGCTGGAGCAGGAGTGTCAGAAGGATGTTTCTCCCATACAAGTGAAGTCAATCTGGTTCAGCTCCAACCTGATGCTGAAACTACTAAAGGTAATAAGCAAAAAACCTTGTTTCAGCTGTGTGATTTCTTCCAACCTTTAATATATGTCAATGAGATTGAGATAGTTTGTTTAAATGTGTAGAGCAAGCCCCTCGTTTCAAGCTTATGTAAGTAAGAACTTTTGAGTTCTCTTAGTACTTAGTACTTTAGTTGATTTCATGATTTGTGAATTTGGATCCTTACTACCGGTTGGTTTTGATCGTTTTCAGGTTTTGTTTGAGTTTTGTTGTCTTGGCTGCTAGGTGGAACCAAGGAATGCAGAATGCTGCATTGTTGTTGCTGCTAGAAAGTGGAGTATGGAGGCCTGAAGTGAAGTCTTTATCTTGTTGTTGTGTTGCTGCTGCTGCACGCCTCTGCTGCTATCGAAGTTGTTCTCTAGTAGTGGAGATGTTTTGCTAGTCATTTAAACATTTGTTTTGCTGATACAATGGTCTTTGTCATTTTGGATTTGATGGTATCTTAGGATTGGATGTTTTATATTGAATGTTTTGATCTTTTGCTACTTCTCCAGTGCATTCTGGTTTCTGGATTTGATGTTATGAAGTTCATGCTTCACCTTCACGTAAGAATTTGGTTGTTTTTTTTAATGGAAATGGAACTCTGAATTATGTTTATCTCGGTGAGTGACTGTCATTTGATTTAATTAATAAACTGGTTAGATAAGTTTC